TTTTTTTTTCTGCAAAGACATTGATGACTGCGTTAATCACACATGTGCAAACGGTGGATTTTGTGTGGATAGAGTCAACAATTACTCTTGTAGTTGCGTCACAGGATACACCGGGAATCACTGCGAGAAAGGTAAGATCATCTGTCAGACCTGTTTGCGTTATTGTATACTTATTTGCATATCATTTCAACATTTTAATTCTGATATGCATTAAACATCCGTTTTCATTCTACTCAACTCTAATTCGCTGGTGAAATGCAACCGTCTAAATGACGAATATCGAAATAAACACTGTTGACTAAAGCTAATAAGGAAGTTATTCGTGAAACTTTTGATTGTACATGTGCAATAAGTTTTCTCAGCACTCTGCCATCAGTCAATATCACCTAACTCGAGTGCGACGCAGCAAAACTGAACTTTTTACCTGAAAAACGAGGAAGTCTCCTTATGAACAAAAAGTCTACTCTTGAAAATAATCAGTCCGCTTCTTCATCCCGTAGAACTTTCTCGTAACACTGATCGTCATAGTATTCACACTATACATGGACATGTCTACAATCAAACAATCTTATTGGCTTACACCTGTTTAGAATTAGGTTATCATAGGCTTTTCACTGTTCCCCTATGTTTTTGATGGATTGATAAGACCAGAAAGATCGAGTGAGCTATTGTGATTTTCGTCTGCACAAAATGCCCCCAAACTAGGGGGCTCCCTCGTTAGTTTAGTAACTCTACCAGGTCACGCTCACTGTTACAGCCAAGATGGTGGCAGTTTAATCGAAGTGTAAGAGTCTGTACAATCCTGCTGAAAAATAGTCTAAAAATTCTCAAGAAATAGTCCCAGGATTAATTCAATGAACTAAAATTAGCTGAGGTCCCTGTAAGAATATTGACAGACGTATATTTTGCTATTCTTGTTCTACTTTGAGATGTTTCTATATTTTCGCTCAATTACCAGACATCGACGATTGTTTGAACCACACATGCGTAAATGGAGGATTTTGTGTTGATGCTGTCAATGATTACAGGTGTAACTGTTCGAGGGGATTTACCGGGGCCCGCTGTGAGAACAGTAAGTTAAAATACTGCACTAGTCTTTTTTGTGCTTGTTACTTCAGTTTGTATCAAAGTAACCATTGACTGAAAATCACCATTTGAATAAAAAGAATGCTGCGAGAGTTGTGAAATATGTCGTAGTATATAATATTCATCTACCTGTATTTTTTCCTACTAAAAATAACATAACCATTCACAGTTCCCATTT